TTTTTTAAATTTTTCGATTTCTCAATTTTTGAACACTTCTATTTTGGGATTTTTTCCATTTCTGAATTTTTTAATTTTTCCATATTTTAATTTTAGAATTTTCGGTTTATGGAATTCTCGACCACTTGATTTTTTGATTTCTCCTGCTTTTGTTGTTTCAAATTTTCAATTTTACGCTGTTCCGATTTCTCGATTTTTCGGCTTTCAATTTTTCAATTTTTGAAATTTCGATTTTTCGCATTTTCGATATCCGATGTTCGAATTTTTTAACTCCGAGTTCTCGATTTTATTTTTCCATATTTCGACTTTTCGTTCTTTATACAGATACATATTTCATTGCTTGGATTTTTCGAAATCTTAATTTTCGATTTGTTGATTTTTCGGTTTTTCGAATTTCAATTTTTGGATTTTTAAGTTTTCGGTTTTCCGGTTTCTCGGATTTTCGTTTTGTCGTACATTTGATTCATCGAATTTCCGATTTTTGATTTTTTTAATTTTCGATTTTTCAATTTTTCCATTCTTCAGTTCTTAGTTTTATTATTATTGTTCTATATTTGAATTATCAATTTTTTTGCTTTTCAATTTTTTGATTTTTCGAGTTTTCGATTTTCAATATTCGAATTTTCAATCTTTCCACTTTTCGATTTTAATTTTTCAAATTTTTGTTATTTCAATTTTTACATTCTTTAGGTTTTTTTTTATTTTTAAAGGTTTCGACTTTTTGACTTTTCGGTTTCTTAAACTTTTTGTTACGATTTCCCGATGTTTCAATTTTCCAATTGTTCGGTTTAGATTTTTCGATTTCTCGTTTTTTCGATATTTCGTTTTTTTTTAAATTTTACATGTTACGAGTTTTTTAAATTTTTCGATTTCTCAATTTTTGAACACTTCTATTTTGGGATTTTTTCCATTCCGGATTTTTTAATTTTTCCATATTTTAATTTTTGAATTTTCGGTTTGTGGAATTCTCGACCACTTGATTTTTTGATTTCTCCTGCTTTTGTTGTTTTAAATTTTCAATTTTTCGCTGTTCCGATTTCTCGATTTTTCGACTTTCAATTTTTCAATTTTTGAAATTTCGATTTTTCCCTTTTTCGCATTTTCGATATCCGATGTTCGAATTTTTTAACTTCGAGTTTTCGATTTTATTTTTTCATATTTCGACTTTTCGTTTTTTATACAGATACATATTTCATTGGTTGGATTTTTCGAAATCTTAATTTTCGATTTTTTGATTTTTCGGTTTTTCGAACTTCAATTTTTGGATTTTTAAGTTTTCGGTTTTCCGGATTTTCGTTTTGTCGTACATTTGATTCATCGAATTTCCGATTTTTGATTTTTTTAATTTTCGATTTTTCAATCTTTCCAGTTCTTAGTTTTATTGTTGTTCTATATTTGAATTATCAATTTTTTGATTTTTCGAGTTTTCGATTTTCAATACTCGAATTTTCAATCTTTCCATTTTGATTTTTCAAATTTTTATTTCAATTTTTACATTCTTTAGGTTTTTTTTTTTATTTTTAAACGTTTCGACTTTTTTAACTTTTCGGTTTCTTAATCTTTTTGTTTCGATTTCCCGATGTTTCAATTTTCCAATTGTTCGATTTAGATTTTTCGATTTCTCGTTTTTTCGATATTTCGTTTTTTTAAATTTTACATGTTACGAGTTTTTAAAATTTTTCGATTTCTCAATTTTTGAACACTTCTATTTTGGGATTTTTTCCATTTCTTGATTTTTTAATTTTTCCATATTTTAATTTTAGAATTTTCGGTTTGTGGAATTCTCGACCACTTGACTTTTTTATTTCTCCTGCTTTTGTTGTTTCAAATTTTCAATTTTTCGCTGTTCCGATTTCTCGATTTTTCGACTTTCAATTTTTCAATTTTTGAAATTTCGATTTTTCCATATTTCGACTTTTCGTTCTTTTTACAGATACATATTTCATTGCTTGGATTTTTCGAAATCTTAATTTTCGATTTTTTGATTTTTCGGTTTTTCGAATTTCAATTTTTGGATTTTTAAGTTTTCGGTTTTCCGGTTTCTCGGATTTTCGTTTTGTCGTACATATGATTCATCGAATTTCCGATTTTTGATTTTTTTAATTTTCGATTTTTCAATTTTTCCATTCTTCAGTTCTTAGTTTTATTATTGTTCTATATTTGAATTATCAATTTTTTTGCTTTTCAATTTTTTGATTTTTCGAGTTTTCGATTTTCAATACTCGAATTTTCAATCTTTCCACTTTTCGATTTTGATTTTTCAAATTTTTGTTATTTCAATTTTTACATTCTTTAGTTTTTTATTTTTATTTTTAAACGTTTCGACTTTTTGACTTTTCGGTTTCTTAAACTTTTTGTTTCGATTTCCCGATGTTTCAATTTTCCAATTGTTCGATTTAGATTTTTCGATTTCTCGTTTTTTCGATATTTCGTTTTTTTTAATTTTACATGTTACGAGTTTTTTAAATTTTTCGATTTCTCAATTTTTGAACACTTCTATTTTGGGATTTTTTCCATTTCTTGATTTTTTAATTTTTCCATATTTTAATTTTAGAATTTTCGGTTTGTGGAATTCTCGACCACTTGACTTTTTTATTTCTCCTGCTTTTGTTGTTTCAAATTTTCAATTTTTCGCTGTTCCGATTTCTCGATTTTTCGACTTTCAATTTTTCAATTTTTGAAATTTCGATTTTTCCATATTTCGACTTTTCGTTCTTTTTACAGATACATATTTCATTGCTTGGATTTTTCGAAATCTTAATTTTCGATTTTTTGATTTTTCGGTTTTTCGAATTTCAATTTTTGGATTTTTAAGTTTTCGGTTTTCCGGTTTCTCGGATTTTCGTTTTGTCGTACATATGATTCATCGAATTTCCGATTTTTGATTTTTTTAATTTTCGATTTTTCCATTCTTCAGTTCTTAGTTTTATTATTGTTCTATATTTGAATTATCAATTTTTTTGCTTTTCAATTTTTTGATTTTTCGAGTTTTCGATTTTCAATACTCGAATTTTCAATCTTTCCACTTTTCGATTTTGATTTTTCAAATTTTTGTTATTTCAATTTTTACATTCTTCAGTTTTTTTTTTATTTTTAAACGTTTCGACTTTTTGACTTTTCGGTTTCTTAATCTTTTTGTTTCGATTTCCCGATGTTTCAATTTTCCAATTGTTCGATTTAGATTTTTCGATTTCTCGTTTTTTCGATATTTCGTTTTTTTAATTTTTTCATGTTACGAGTTTTTAAAATTTTTCGATTTCTCAATTTTTGAACACTTCTATTTTGGGAATTTTTCCATTTCTGGATTTTTTAATTATTCCATATTTTGATTTTAGAATTTTCGGTTTGTGGAATTCTCGACCACTTGATTTTTTGATTTCTCCTGCTTTTGTTGTTTCAAATTTTCAATTTTTCGCTGTTCCGATTTCTCGATTTTTCGACTTTCAATTTTTCAATTTTTGAAATTTCGATTTTTCCATATTTCGACTTTTCGTTCTTTATACAGATACATATTTCATTGCTTGGATTTTTCGAAATCTTAATTTTCGATTTTTTGATTTTTCGGTTTTTCGAATTTCAATTTTTGCATTTTTAAGTTTTCGGTTTTCCGGTTTCTCGGATTTTCGTTTTGTCGTACATCTGATTCATTGAATTTCCGATTTTTGATTTTTTTAATTTTCGATTTTTCAATTTTCCCATTCTTCAGTTCTTAGTTTTATTATTGTTCTATATTTGAATTATCAATTTTTTTGCTTTTCAATTTTTTGATTTTTCGAGTTTTCGATTTTCAATACTCGAATTTTCAATCTTTCCACTTTTCGATTTTGATTTTTCAAATTTTTGTTATTTCAATTTTTACATTCTTCAGTTTTTAGACTTTTCATTTTTTTACTTTAAGATTTTTTGACTTCCTGCGAGATTTATCTATTTTTTCGATTTTTGAACTTTCGTTTTTTCGATTTTCTATTTTTCGGAACTATTTACGCCACCGATTTTTACTTCAAGGTTATTTCAACAGAACTTCCCTCACCCCGAAAGTACGGAAAAACACATCCAGCTTTTTCGAAAAATTAAAAATTTGATTTTGGGAATTTTATTTTTTTATGACAAGAATAATGGAAAAATCAACATAGCAAGAAATCGAAAAGTCAAGAAGTAGAGAATTCAACCAAACCGAAAAATCTAAAATTACAATATTGAGAAAATTGAAAAATCCAGAAATGAGCGAATTCCCAAAATTGAAGGGTTGAAAAGTGGAGAAATCGAAAACTTGAAAAATCCAGAAATCGGAAAATTTTAATTGAAAAACTGACAAGTCGAGAACTGAAAAATGCGAAAAAATGAAAAAGTTTTAAAATCCAATAATTGAAAAATGAAAAAATTCTAAAATTGTAACATTGAAAAAGTGAAATATTTTAGACATTATGATTATTATACATTTAAAATGAAAACTAGTAAAATTGCAAATCAAAAACTGAAGAAACGAAAAATTGAAAACTCATGTGAAACTGAAAAATTCAAAACCGAAAAATTGAAAAATCCAAAAGTTGAAAATTTTCACATTGAAGAAAAGGAAAATAGTAAAATAAAAACGTTCAAAAACCGAAAAATTGAAAAATCGAATCATTGAAAAAATTTAAGTTGAAAGATACAAAAGTTGGGGAATGGAAAAACGAAAATTAAAAATGAAAACTCGAAGAGTTGCATATCGTACAATTGAAGAAACAAAAAAATTAAAAACTGAAAAAAACAGAAAAATTGCAAATCAAAACAACAAAAAATTATAAAATCGGAACATTAAAACACCGAAAATTGTAAAAATAAAAAAATAAAAAAAAACAAAAAACCAAAACGAAAATTACAAATAGAAAATTTGAAGAAATGAAAATTGGGAAATTCAAAAGTTGGAAAACTGAAAAACTGAAGAAACAAAAAAATAAAAAATTGGATTTTTTTATACTTGAACTCATAGATAGCGTAATATTCAAAAAACCACCCACCTTTCGCCACCGGCTGATCCCCCTTGAACTCGATCTCGAAGTCCCCGCACTTCTCCTTCTTCTCCACCATCGTCTTGTGGTACACCCCCTGACTCGCCTCCTCCAGGACCGTGAACATATTGGCCACCCTCGCCGTGTGCCCGGCCAACTCCACGATATCCTTGTAGCTCGACATGAGCCTCTCCACCGCGTTGGAGCCCGTGATCAACAGATTCTTCGCCGTCGTGAAATAGTGAGTGCGCTCGGACACGCTGTCTTCGGCCACCGCCGCCGACCCCAACGCCACCGACGTGTCCTCGCTCAGAAGCGGCAAGTTCATGAGGGTGTTCGTGGGCTTGGGCTTCTCGGGCCGGGAGGCGGTTGCGAGGAGGATGGGCAGAGACACCACGATCATGCCGGTCCCCGACCACACGTACTTCATCAGGAATTGCTCCAACATGACGAACCAGAGCTTCACGCCGAACATGTGCTCCAGGTGCTGCGCCAGGATGCGGAAGGCGCTCCTGAGCTGGGATTGCTCGACCTTGTGGCCGCCGTAGAAGGCGATTTCTTCGGCGTTGGAGACAATGCGGGAGTGGACATGGCGGAGGTAGCTGTGGAAATAGCAAAGAAGTGTAATTTAAGCTTAACACTGTTTGAGTTGGCAAAAGAATTAAGCGATTCTGAGGCAATTTTCTTGCCCTGCTATTGCCAGACCTGAATAAAATTCTGAAAGTTTGGTTATGACATTTTAATATCGATCCAAAATAAATTTTGACGCAAATTAATAATGTCATGTCAACCATGTCAGGTTTGACAACAGGAAGTAAGGTGGAGTGACAGGTTTACCAATTTCAAGCAAAATTCATTGATACCAACTGAAAGAGTACTTGCTGATTCCGCGGTTTTATACACAATCAAAGGCAGCCATGGATTTTTAAAAATTTGTCTTTGATCGCTGTCAAACTTTCAAGTTGATGGTCATCTGACCAAGCTAAAATTCTATCAAAGACAAACTCTCACAAATCACGGGCTGTCTTTGATAGTATTTATTATTGTTCTCTGTATATTAACGCAATTAATTTAAAAAAGATTACCAACAATTTTGCTTACAAAGATAAACACCTTTACTGTATCAAGGTTTGTAGGTTATGCTGCAAAAATTTTTAATTGAGATATAAAAAAAATTAAATCGAAAAATTTTAAAATAAAAAAATTGAAAAATCGAATATCAAAAATTTCAAAAATTGAAAAACCGAAAAGTCAAAATCCGAACAGTCGAAAAATCGAAAAATTAAAATATCCAAAAGTTGAAAAGTTCCCAAAATTGAAGTGTTCAAAAAGAAAGAAACCGAAAAGTTGAAAAAATCAAAAATTTTAAAAATTGAAAAATTAAAATATCGAAAAATTGAACAATCGGAAAACGAAACATCAAAAATATCGAAAAATTCAAAAATCTAAATCGAAAAGCCAAAATTTATAAAATTGCAAAAGTTGAATCGAAAAATTGAAGAATCAAAAAAATGAAAAAAATTGGGAAATCGAAAATTGAAAAATCGAAGCGCTACGAAAAATTGGAAAATATTGGAAAAATCATCAAAAACATCAAAAGACCGATAAATCGAGAAATGGAAAAGTGGAGAAGTCAAAAAATCGAAATAGGCCAAGATCTAAAAATCGGAATGTTAAAAACTTAAAAATCCCAAAGGATTTTTAAAATATCCGAAAAATTAAAAAATGGCAATATCGAAGAACTGAAAAATCTAATAAAAAAAAACTTAAAAATCGGGAAACTGAAACACGGAAGCTACGACAATTTGGAAAATCGAAAAGCCGAAAAGTCCAAACAACAAAATATTCAAAAGCTGAAACATTGTGAAGTCGAAACATCAAAAAAATCGATAAATCGTGAAATGGAACAATCAAAAAATCGAAACACCGAAATCTTGATAAATTGATAAATCTGTAGAAAAACTGTAAAACCGAAAAATTCAAAAATCGAAAAATCAAAAATTTTTAAAATCGACAATTAAAATATTGACAAATTGAATCGAAAAATTTAAAAATCTGGAAATCGAAAAGTTGTGAAATTGAAGAATTGAAAAATTGAGCAATCAAAACATTGAAAAGTTGAGCAAATTGACAAATCAAAAACGAAAATTTAAAAACGTCGAAAATTCAAAATTAAAAGTCGAAAAATCGTAAAACTGAACATAGGAAGATTGAGAAATAAGAAAATTGAAAATCGAGAAATAAAAATTAAAGAATAAAAAAACAGAAATCCAAAATTGATCGAAAATCCAGAATTCAAAAAATTTAAAAATCGGAGAATTGAATCAAAAGCTGAAAAATTCCAAAAAACAAAAATGATGAGAAATTAGGAAATCGAAAAACTGAAAATTAGAAACATCGAAAAATTGGAAAATCGAAAAGTTGAAACATCGAAAAATCAAAAAAAATGGGAAAAATCTAGAATCGAAATATTGCAATCTAAAAACTGAAATATCGAAAAATTGAAAAATCGAAGAAAAATTGAAGAAGCGAAAAATTGGAAAAATCCCAAAACTGAAATATCGAAAAACTGAGAAATCGAAAAGTCGTGAAATCGAAGTCGAAAAATCGAAAAATTCAAAAATCAAAAAAAGAAAAATTTAGAAACGTCAAAAATTGAAAAATTTAAAAATCGAAAAATAGAGAACTCGAAAAATCGAAAAATTTAGAAATCAAAAGTTGAAAAATTGCAGTGTTGAAAAGTCGAAAAATAGAAAATTCGAAAAATTGAGAAATCGGGAAACCGGAAAATCTAAAATTCAAATAATTAAAAAAATTAAATTTCGAAAAACCGAATAATCGAGAAATCCAAACATCAAAAATATCGAAAAATTGAAGAATCAAAAAAATGAAAAATCGAGAAATTGAAAAATTCCAAAACTGAAATGACGAAAAATTGGGAAATCGAAAATTGAAAAATCGAAGCGCTACGAAAAATTGGAAAATATTGGAAAAATCATCAAAAACATCAAAAGACCGATAAATCGAGAAATGGAAAAGTCGAGAAGTCGAAAAATCGAAATAGGCCAAGATCTAAAAATCGGAATTTTAAAAACTTAAAAATCCAAAAGGATTTTTAAAACATCCGAAAAATTAAAAAATGGCAACATCGAAGAACTGAAAAATCTAATAAAAATCGAGAAATCGGAAAAACTAAAATTTGAAAATCGAAAAATAGAAATGTTGAAAGTCGAAAAAGGAGAAATCGAAAAAACAAAACTTAAAAAAAAATGCAAAAATTGAAAAATCGGGAAACTGAAACACGGAAGCTACGACAAATTGGAAAATCTAAAAGCCGAAAAGTCGAAACAACAAAATATTCAAAATCTGAAACATTATGAAGTCGAAACATCAAAAAATCGAAAAATCGTGAAATGGAACAATCAAAAAATCGAAACACCGAAATCTTGATAAATTGATAAATCTGTAGAAAAACTGTAAAACCGAAAAATCTAAAATTTTTAAAATCGACAATTAAAATATTGACAAATTGAAAAGAAAAATTTAAAAATCTGGAAATCCAGAACTTGTGAAATTGAAGAATTGAACAATCAAAACATTGAAAAGTCGAGCAAATTGAGAAATCAAAAACGAAAATTTAAAAACGTCAAAAATTCAAAATTAAAAGTCGAAAAATCGTAAAACTGAACATAGGAAGATTGAGAAATAAGAAAATTGAAAATCGAGAAATAAAAATTAAAGAATAAAAAAACTGAGAAATCCAAAATTGATCGAAAATCCAGAATTCAAAAAATTTAAAAATCGGAGAATTGAATCAAAAACTGAAAAATTCCAACAAGCAAAAATGATGAAAAATTAGGAAATCGAAAAACTGAAAATTAGAAACGTCGAAAAATTGGAAAATCGAAAACCCGAAAAGTTGAAACATCGAAAAATAAAAAAAATGGGAAAAATCTAGAATCGAAATATTGCAATCTAAAAACTGAAATATCGAAAAATTGAAAAATTGAAGCGAAAAATTGAAAAAATCCCAAAACTGAAATATCGAAAAACTGAGAAATCGAAGTCGAAAAATCGAAAAATTCAAAAATCAAAAAATTAAAAATTTAAAAACGTCAAAAATTGAAAAATTTAAATATCGAAAAATAGAGAACTCGAAAAATCGAAAAATTTAGAAATCAAAAGTTGAAAAATTGCAGTGTCGAAAAGCCGAAAAATAAAAAATTTGAAAAATTGAGAAATCGGGAAACCGGAAAATCTAAAATTCAAATAATTAAAAAAATTAAATTTCGAAAACTGAATAATCGAGAAATCGAAACATCAAAAACATCGAAAAATTCAAAAATCCAAAAACTAAAATCGAAACATTGAAACAATTGCAAAAATTTAAAAATTGGAAAACTGAAGAATCGAAAAATCGAAGCAAAGAAAAATTTGAAAATCAAAAAGCCTAAAAGTCGAAAATCGAAATATTTTAAAAAGACTAAAACATTGAGAAATCGAGAAATGGTAGTCGAGAAGTCGAAAAATCGAAAAACTGAGAAATCGAAAGGTTAAAAATTGAAAAATTGATCAATCAAAAAATTGAAACATCGGAATTTTGATAATTTTAAAAATATGTAGAAAAATTGGATAATCGAAAAATCGGAAATTTTAAAAAAGAAAAAAACTGAAAAATCCCAAACAATGAAACATTGAAAAATTGAAGAATTGAAAAACTGAACAATCGAAACACTCACAAGTCGAGAAAATTAAGAAATCAAAAATTGAAGATTTAAAAACGTCAAAAATTGAAAAATGGGAAAATTTAAAAATAAAAAATAGAAGTGTCGAAAAATTGGAAAATCGTAAAACATCGGGAGATTGAAAACTCGAAAAAAATTCAAAATTTGAAGAATCGAAAAATTGACCAAGTATGTAATCGAAAAACTAAAAATTGAGAAACTGAAAAAATTAGGAACCAAAAGTTGAAAAACCTGGAAAACGGAAAGCCGAAAAATCGCAAATTCGAAAACTTGAAAATCCGAGAAATCGAAAATCCAAAATTTAAAAAATTGTAAACATGAAAAATCCGTAAACTGAAGAATCGAAAAATCGAGAAATTGAGAAATTCCAAAACTGAAATGACGAAAAATTGAAACACAGGAACATCGAAAAATTGGAAAAACGAAAAGCCCAAAAATGTCCAGAGACCAAAAAATCGAAAAACTGAGAAATCCAAACAGACCAAAATCTAAAAATCGAGAAATTGAAAAGTGAAAAATTTAAAAATCGAAAAATAAAAATTTAGAAATACAAAAATTGAAAAATAGAAGAGAAAAAAATTGAAAAATCGAAAATTTGAAGAATCGAAAAATTGGAAATCGAAAACTTGAAAAATGAAAGACTAAAAGAACTGCAAAATGGAAAATTTAAAAATCAAAAGTTGAAAACTCAAGAAATCGAAAAGCCGAAAATGGAAAATTCGAAAAATCCAGAAATCTAAAAATTGTTATATCTACAATTTTGATTTTATTCTTAAAAATCTCGATAACGGATTCATAAACCACAACTTGGGACTACGTTATTTTTTAACATTTAAATAACATTTATTTAGATAACAAATTCCGGGAGGTGGGGAGTCAAGACCGGCAAAATTTTAATTAACGAATTACCAAGTTTCCGATCTTCTTAAATGTTTTCAAAATTTCAAAGCATTCGAATTAGCAATTTTAAAGTTAAATTGTAAAATGCTTTGATTTTTTTATCAATTTTTAAATAATATTAACTAATCTAATTTCTAGAAATGACATCATCTTATTGCTGGTGTGGATGACTAAAATAGACTCTGGTATTAATAATTTGGTAGAATGGAATCAAAGCAATTCTACACATTAGCATTAGAACTACGTAGTATTTAGAGATGTAAAGTAATTTTCTTTTTGATAAGTTTGGAAACACTGATTTACCCTTTCTTCTCCGCTTCTTGGGCCACCAGCTGGCCGAATCGCGGCGATACCAGCTTGAGGATGAGAGCCGAGATGAGCACCACCCCGGAGATGATCGCAGGCCCTGTTATAAGCGACGTGGCATTCCGCGACTTCACAAGATTAGCTAGAGCGATAGCCATGAGGAGGATATCGAAGAGAGGCTTGGTGATGTGGCCATACAAATGGGCCACGGTGCTGGCGACGGTCTCGATGTCGTCCGTCAGACGCTGCGCACAGTTATCTAAACGCCCGTCGAGGACGGTTACCTAGTGGAACAAAACCAGAAGTAGCAACCCAACTCAACACTCCCCCAGCTCACTCACCCTGTAATAACTCTGATTCTTAAAATACAACTTATACGAATGCTCCACCAGCCTCGTCCGGAAGCTCAGAGCAATCTTACTCTCCAAATACTTAATCATGCTATTGATGAACGTCGCCGGGATGGCCACCGCGAACCACTTCATCAACTGCTTGATGAAGTTATCCGGCTCCTTCCTGACGATGTACTTCACGATGGCCCCTTCCAGGTTGGCCACGTAGATGCTGAGGAAGGTCCTCAAGAAGAGAAACGTCGTGTGCCCGCCCAGCAGCCCGATCTCGGCGCAGAAAAGGTTGGGGATCATGATCCTGACCAGCTTGATGAACTGGAGGATGAACTGCAGGTTGAGGGCGGGGATGGTGTTGCGCAAGCGCTGCCGCTTGGACAGCTTGCTCTTGGGCTTGAGGCCATTCTGGACCTGGACGTTCTTTTTGACTAGATTGTTGTTGTTGTTGGTGGCGGGGTCCCTGCGCAGGACGAGGGGGAGGGCGACCTTGTAGGTGTAGGCGCAGAGTGCGGCGGCAACGAGGGCTCCAGAGAGGGTGCTGCGGTTGATGTTAAGGGTTTGTTCGGTCTTGGAGAGGAACTTCGACACGACGGTCGGCATCTTGGGGGCGTGGGGGTGTTAGAGGGAGGGTGGAGTTACGTGCGACGAGGGGGCGTGGCTGTCATCGTGGGTGGGGCATGGTGGGGGAACCTGAAATGAAAAATGTGATTAGTCGAAGGCTATACATATTATATGTATTAATTTCCGCACGCGTGCAGACCAATACAAAAGTATTTTTTAACTAGCATTTATTTCTGAATTTGTAAAAATACTTCAGTTGTTCGATTTTTCAATTGTTTGAGTAGGTATATAATTTCCAAATATTTTAATTTTTAATTATCGTTTTATTAATCTTTAGACTTTTCTTTTCCAGAATTTTAATGTTTCGTTTTTTGTTTCTCGATATTTTAGTTTTTTGATTTTTCATTTTCTCGATTTTCCAGTTGTTTGATTAGCAATTTCTTTAATTCCAAATTTTTCAGTTTCTTGATTTTCAATTTTCGACAGTTCAATTTTAATTTTGTGTAAATTTTTCGATTTTTTGGCGTATCGAAACCATTTTTCGTTTTTTCAGTTTTTCCACATTTCAATTTCTCGATTTTTAATTTTTGGAATTTTCAATTTTGATTTTTAATGTTAATTTCTCGTTTCTTCAACTTTTGGACTCTCCAATTTTTCGGGTATTCAATTTGAAATTCCTCAATTTCCCAATTTTTGAATTTAAACTTTGAAATTATTCGATTTTTCAATTTTTCGTTTTTAGTTTTTCATTTTTTGATGTTTCGATTTTTCAGTTTCCCGTTTTTAAAATTTTTCGATTTTTTAGTTTCTTTATTTTTAATTTTGCGATTTTACTACATATTTTTCAATTTTAAGATATTTTAATTTTCCGTGTTTTCAATTTCTAGATTTTTTATTTTTCGTTCTTTCAACTTGTCGACTTTCCAATGTTTAAAATTGCAATTTTTTTAAAAGAATGACTAAATATTTTAATTTTTCGTTTTATTTCAAATTTCCATTTTTCAGTTTACCGATTTTCAATTTTAAGAATCTTACACTTTCCGATTTTTCCGCGTCTGGATTTTTTATTTTTCGATTTTACAGTTCTTCATTTCTCTTTTAGTTTTTAGATTTTTAATTTATAATCGCTTTTCCAATATTTCAAATTTTCGATTTCATTTCTTCTATTTCAATTTTGTTAAGTTTTCATTTCTTCAAATTCAAGCAACTTTAATTTTTCATTTTTTCAAATTTTCGATTTGCAATTTTTCGTTTCGGTTTTTTATTTTCTTAATTTTTTCAATTTCCCATGTTTTCATGTTCCGATTTTGTATTTTTTTTTTGTTTTTCAATTTCAATTTTTTCAATTTTTCGATTTGCAGTTTTTCAATCTGTCATTTTTTTGTTCAATTTTACGATATTTTTCTACTTTTCGATTTCTTGACTTTTCGGTTTTCTTATTTTTCCGTTCTTTGATTTTTTGATTTTCCTATTTCAGGATTTTTGCAAATTTTTAAATTTTCGACTTTCGATTTTTCGGTTCCTCGATTTTTAAAATTCTCGCGTTCTCAATTTTTTGATTTTTCGATTTTCCGAAATTTCGATACTACGATTTTTCAATTTTCTGATTCAATTTTTCCATTTTTTAAATTTTGGCATTTCTAAGTTTTCGGTTTTTTTCGGTTTTTCGAATTCTCGATTAAAGGATTTTTCGACTTCACGAATTTTTGATTTTCCTGTTTCTGCATTTCTAAACGTTTCGATATTCCGATTTTTCAGGTTTTCAATTGTTCAATTTTTTTAATTTCCGATTTTTCGACTTTTCGATTATTCAATTCTTCGATATTTTGATGTTTCGATTTCTCGATTTCTCAAATTTTTGGTTTTTCAATTTCTCGGTATTTTTGTCTCTGGTTTTTTAAATTTTAGATTTTGCGATTTCTCGACGTTTTAGTTCTTCTATCCTGCAGTTTTCCAATTTTTCGAATTTAAAAATTTTCGACTTTCGATTTTTCAATTTTTTTATTTTAATGTTTCAATTTCTCGATTATTCGGTTTTTCAACACGTTAATTTTTAGATTTTTCGATTTTCCAAGTTCTGAATGATTCAATTTTTAGGTTTTTTTGAATTTTTCGATTTGTAGTTTCACGAATTTTTATTTTTGATTTTTCAATTTTTCATTTCTTCAATTCATCTAATTACAATTTTTCGTTTCGGCGTTTTATTTTTTCCAATTTTCCAGTTTTCAATGTTCTAGTTTTCTAATTTTTCCTTTTTGAATGTAATTTTTCAATTTTTCAAATTTTTGATTTTACGAGTATAACTTTTCATTTCTTCAATTTCAAATTGGTCCATTTTTCATTTCTTCAATTTTTTGAATTGCAATATTTCGATTTCCCAATATTTCATCTCATCAATTTTTCGATTTTTAATTTTCCCTTTCTTCAATTTTTGACTTTCCAAATTTCAAATTTTCAATTGCTGATATTTTGTTTTTTTTTTTTCAATTTTCTAGTTTTCAGTTTGCCGATATTAATTTTTGGATGTATACATTTTCCGACTTTTCCTCCCCTGGATTTTTTAATTTTCTATTTTGTAATTCTTCATTTCTTCAGGTTTTCAATTTCTGGATACAATTTTTCGATTTTATTCGATTTTTAAACTTTCGTTTTTCCAATGTTTCAAATTTTCCATTTTACGCGTATAAATTTTCATTTCTTCAATAAAATTCCATATTTGTCAATTTTTCATTTCTTCAATTGTTGAATAGCAATTTTTCAGTTTTTCCTCAATTTCTAATTTTCAATTTCTAGACATTTTAATTTTTGTATTAATGAATTTTCAGTTTCTCGATTTGTAATTTTTTGATTTATCATTCGATTGTCATTTGTCGATTTTAGATTTTTCGATCGTTCAATTTAAAATTTGTCGGTCTTTCGGTTTTTTGATTTTGTTTTCCCTAATTTACAATTTCACAATTTTTCGATTTTTCAATTTTTCAATTTCTCGGCTTTTAAATGTTCGATTTTTCAGTTTCTTCATTTTTAATTTTTCGATTTTCAGATATTTTAACTTACTTTTTTTCCAATTTTTCGATGTTTAATTTTTAGTTTTTTAAACTTTTCGATTTTTGACCTTCACATTTTTTAAGTATTCAATTTAAAATTTTTCAATTTTTCGTTTCTTCAAACTTTTGAACAGCAATTTTTCAATTTTTCATTTCCTCAATTTTTCAACTTGCAATTTGTACAATTTTTCGATGTTTCAATTACTAGAAATTTTAATTTTTTGATTTTTAGATTTTTCGAATTTTTATTTTTCCTATTTCTCGATTTTTAGACCTGTTTCGATTTTTCAATTTTTCACTTTTCCTGTTTTTTGATGTTCCAATTTCTCTATCTTTCGATTTTTCACTTTTTTTGGTCCTTCAATTTTTCGATTTGAAATTTTTCGAATTTCCAAGTTTAAATTTTTCAGTTTTTCAATTTTCCAACTTTTGAATTTTTCGATTTGAGAGGCTCTCCAGGTTTCAATTTTTAATTTTTCAATTTATCGTTTCGGTTTTTTATTTTCTTTGTTTTTTTTTAATTATTCGATTTTTCAATTTTTCGATTTTATAATTTTTGTTTTTTTCAATTTTTCATTTCTTCAGCTTTTCGATTTGCGATTCTGCAATTTTCCGATTTAAAATTTCTGGAGTTTTAAGTTTTTGATCTTTCAATTTTTAAATTCTTTAATTTTTCATTTCTTCAAATTTTCGATTTGCAGTTTTTCAGTTTTTCATTATTTTTAATTTTACGATATTTTTCTACGTTTCGATTTTTTTTTATTTTTCCATTTCTCGATTTTTCGATTTCCCTATTTCAGGGTTTTTCAAATTTTGGAAGTTTATATTACCCAATTTTTCGATTTTTTATTTTTAGATTTTTTGATTTCTCGTTGTTTCAATTCTTGATGTTCCTGGTTTTCAATTTATTTAATTTTCGACTTTCGACTTTTTCGATTTTAAATTTTTGTTGTTTCAATTTCTCAATCTTTTTTTTTTGGTTTTAAATTTTGACATTTCTAAGTTTTCGATTTGTTGGTATTTCGAATTCTCAATTTCTCGATTTTCCAATTTTTCCGATTTTCAATCTCCGGATATTTTAATCGATATCCAATTTTTTGATGTATAATTTTTTGTTCGATTTTCCCACGTCTGATTTTTTTTTTCTTCATTTATTCAATTGTTCGATTTCTATATACATACCTATTTTAATTTTTCGTGTTTCCAATTTTTTAATTTTAAAAATTTTCATTTCTTCAATTTAAAATTTTTCAATTTTTCGTTTCTTCAAACTTTTGAATAGCAATTTTTCAATTCTTTATTTCCTCAATTTTTCAACTTGCAATTTGTACAATTTTTCGATGTTTTAATTTCTAGAAATTTTAATTATTCGCTTTTTGAATTTTTTGACTTTCCAATTTTTTTATTTTTCAATGCCTCAATTTTTCCATTTTTCAGTTTCTGGATTTTTAATTTTTTGATTTATCAATCCTTCGATTTTCAGTACCACAATTTTTAATTTTTCATTTCTTGGTTTTTAAATGTTTCGAGCGTTCAATTAATAATTTGCCAGTTTTTCGATTTTTAAACTTGAGAATTTTTCAATTTTTGGATTTTTCAACTTTTCGTGTCTCTAATTTTACAATTTCACGATTTTTAGATTTTTGACTTTCACATTTTTTAAGTATTCGATTTAAAATTTCTCAGTTTTTCGATTTTTACTTCCCGAGCGTAAGCAAAGGAAGTATTGTAATCGAGTCCGTCGGCCGACTCTCTACTTTTACGTTTTCTCGATCTTTCATGACCCCTAGAAGACGAAGAAATAGGTCTCCCATTTCCGTCTGTCTGTCCGTCCGTCTGTCCGTCCGTCTGTCCGTCCGTCTGTCCGTCCGTCTGTCCGTCCGTCTGTCCGTCCGTCTGTCCGTCCGTCTGTCCGTCTGTTGTCCCGGATTTTATTAGACAGATAATCTCCGAAAGTACTCGACCGATTGTTGTGAAATTTTGTACTTATATTAAGAATATCATGTAGATGGTAAAACGCTAACCAAAATTTGTCTAATCATCCCCACCACTAATGCGATGACGTCACTTCAAAATTGTACA